TTCTTCCTTCAGGAGGAGATCCCCAACTCCATCCATTTCGTGTGAAAATTTAAGGCAATACTGCTTACAGAGGGAGAGAAGATGGGAAATTAACAGTTAATCCCTTTGTGGATATGTTTACGTTAGTGTTTACAACCATGTTGCTGTTTCTAAGTGAGTCTCCTTCTTTCCCGTCTGTAGCATATCAGCTCATCACTGTGGTGATCGCAGCTGCCGGAGGGGGACTTCTGCTTATCATGGGCATAGCACTGATTGTCACCTGCTGCCGGTAGGTACCGCTGCCAGCCCCGGCTGACGTGACGTCCTCTCAGTGGGTTGCACTACGCTTAGTGCTCCACACGTGAACCCTGAAGGATCAAAACAGAGGTGAAAACACAGGATAGCTAAGAAAGTAGGTTAATGAGGCATACTGAAGTACTACATTGGGCTTTCATTTGGGGCATATCTTCTTTTTTCCAGCAACCAGGCTAAAAAATTCAACTCAGTGTCTCTTAAGGATGCACCTAGCAATCATGTCCTCTAAGGATGGAGAGGAAAAGGAGTCCTTCTGACTCAGAGCTGTCAGGCAGTCAGGGAGCAGTCTCCAGAAATACAAGCTAAGTAGAAAGGAGAAGTTTAGGCAACAGGAGGGTTGCTGGCTGTTGCTCAAGAGGTGTTTGAATGTATTTTAGGCTCTTCTCATTTTCCTTTATGGATGAACACACAGGCACGGACACACGTAGTTTCCGTAACAGCAGGTAGATACACACTAGAGACAAGATGTGCTGCTGATGTTGTTCTGCTCCTTGATTTATAAATCAAGGGCTTGCAGTAATCCCCTCTCTGCCCCATTCCAGCCCCCAAATCTAGGATTTCAAAGCTCTCTGATTAAAGTTTTGAGCCAGGGGCATGTCAGCAAGCCCCTGTCAGGAGGTGTGATGGCCAGTACACCTCCAGCCCTCAGAGCACAGATCTCTGCAGGGATGGACTGATCTCATGAGTCCTGGCCTTTGGCCGGCTATGTGACTTCCTGGAGGGTACTCTGCTTTGAACTGGAAGCATCGCCAAAGTCCAGTTATACAACGTGGTAGTCATATATGGGCATTTGGTGTCATTCAGGCTGGCCCCTTGCCAGTCTTCCTTCTTAGGAATTAACATAGTGCCTAGAAGTGCTATAGTTGAGCACTTGGAAACTGTAATAGCATGAGGGCTCCGTACCTTTTTCTTTCTTCCTAGATTTCTGGGACTTTTTATTTGACTTAGATGTTTTTTAAGAGGCAACGGGCATAAGT